CCCGCGACCATCAGTAAAAATCTCTCCAAAAAAAAAAAAAAAAAAAGAGTCTGTGCCTCCCTTGATGATATTGTTCTTGTAATTGTATAAGCATGAACCAGGTACAGAAATGCCCCATTCACCCCAATTAGAAATCTCTAGAAAATGAACAAAAGGCAGGAAGGGAGGAAAAGAAATTTCGAAAGTGCCCAAGTGGAGGCCATGAAGCCTGTGCATTAAGGTATGCTTTTATTTTAGAAATATTTCAAACAACCCTGGCCATGAGTTTTCCCATCACGCAACAGATTAATCACTGCTTGTGTAAATAGGGTTCAAGGAATTGCTGGATGTAGGTCCTTGAGAGCTTCCTCAGGAAAGGGGGAGACTTAAAGCTGTAAGAAGCAGGCGCAGCCCAGCCCGGATGGGTCTGCGGGATACTTATGCTCCTGACATCATGGCCATCATTTTTATCCAGACCAATGACACTGACGCTCTCTGCTTTCACAAGCCCAATACCAGTAAGAACATAATTAAAGTTTCGTTTCTTAATCCTCTGTTTAAGAAGAAAGCAAAGTGTGTAAGAGAATTTTAAATGTATTTCCATTGGCAGAGATTAAAACAATAACACACTTAAAACACTGGAAATTATTTTTACATGTACCCCAGGCTCCTCCATGACTCCAGACAGGCTTTGCCTGTGTCTATGAAGGTAGTCATTGTATAAAAAATTGTTTTACTGAATAATTAAGGCAATGGTGTTACCTTTTGAACTTCAGTAACATCACTGTTTTTAAAAACGGTAGATTTCTTTGTTTTTTGTCTAGCTCTTAAATTAAGATTTGTCTCTGTAAAGAGCTTTTTTAAAAAAAGTCATTTAATTTTATTTAGTATCATTATTGTCTTTTTAATTTGCTATAATTGTACATGTGCCCATTAGAGAGAGAGTGAGAGGAAGCAAGCTGCCCGATCCAGGATTCGAACCGTGTGGGAGTCTAGTGCCCAACCACCACACCACCTGCTGGTCCCACCTTAAAATTCTTTTCTGAGTCTGGCAGGTGGCATAGTGGTTAAGGGGGCTGGACTCTCATATGGCCATCTGTGGTTTGAGTTCTGGACCTGGCTGCTTGCTTTCTCATTTGCTCTCTCTCTCTCACTCTCTCACTCTGCCCCTCTCTGGTCAAATTTTAAAGTAATAATAATGAATAAATAAATAAATAAATAAGTTTTTTAAAAGGTTTTCTTGAAGAAATCTTTCTCTTAGAATATAAAAATCAAAAATATGCAAATGGTTATTTATGTTTAGTAACCATACCCAGTTACTGTGAGGCAATGTGAAACTACAGTTTGTTCCATCCTGTGTGTTAACATGCTGCCAAGACACCTGGCACCAATAAATGCCCAAATACTACCATTTGAAAAGGTTTTTGTTCTTGTTGGTGTGTTTTCAGTAATATTAATATAGAAACTATTGAACACAGAGAGTCTGAGTTAAACCACCTCTTGGTGTTCTTTACAATGTAAATTTAAAAGAAAACATTTTGATCTCTGATAACCTTTTCTAGTAAGTTCTAGAGAGAGCTGTGTCCTTGTGAGGTTAGCCATGTTGAAAAGGTATCATAGAAGATTTTATTTTTAAAAACGAAAACTATTTTAGTCACACTCGACAGCCTGTAATAGGTAGTTCACTTTTTAAGTCACAGTAAATTTAAGTCAAGCATTTCATCTGATTCGTGTAAGCTAAACACAGTCATAATTGCCCAGGAAAAGTGAAAATCAAATCTCACAATTCTTTCATCCTCCAGCGTAAAATCCCCAGATAGTCAGACCATCTTTCTAAGTGTGAGAGTCCCATTCATTAGAGTGGCATGCATTCGTTTTCTCTTATTGAAAGATTATGCGTTGAAACAACCTCACTTCCTATTTGAGTATTCAGAGTGCTACCAGCCACAGGAGCATCTTCAATAGTCCTGTTAATCATTGAGAAAAACAATGATGATGCCACAGGTGCATCATCCCATGGGTGTTCTCATCTGGCCATTGTTCTCTGCCCCAGCCAGGAAAAGTAAGAAAAAGATATTATGTGTAATTAGCCCTCTTTATTTAAAGGTATTTGCAAATCTAAAATGCCATTTTCTGACCTTCCAGGTCCCGTTGTAACACAGGACATTACCACGTATCACACGGTGTTTCTTTTGGCCATTTTAGGAGGAATGGCTTTCATACTTTTGGTTTTGCTGTGTCTTCTTTTATATTATTGCAGGTAAAGTGTTACCATTTTGGCACTATCTCTTTCATTTAGAATTTCTCATGCAATTGCTATTTGGAAGCATGGATATGGAGGTCTTCTTTTGTTTTTTCTTTTGCTAAATGGAAGTACTTTTTTTCTTATGAAGAAGATATCTAGGGACTTAAACTCGTCATCTAAGTTGCAAATAAACAGAACACGTAAGATACTGTGGATAGCATTGCTTAGAAGGAGAGTTATAAAAGAGTTGCCATTGGGATATGACATACGCTGAATATTCTGGAATATTGCTAATATAATTTCCTCAAAGATAAAGCAGAGTTGTTTTTATTTTGATGCCATGATTAAGAGAATTTCCTCAAAGCAGAGTTGTTTTTATTTTGATGCCATGATTGCTCAGTGTGCAATACGGTTTATTGTCAACTCTTAAATGAATCATTTGGCTGTATTTACAAAAACCTGAGCCTGAAATCAAAATCTGTTACCGCAGGTTAAAATAGGATTTAAGGGTGTTGGAGTGAGAGGGTTGCCTCCTCGTTCCTTTCTTTTGTTTCTCCTGGTGGAAATTGAGAATTAGGATTGTACCTGAAACTCGAGACTTTACCATCACGGGAATCTCTAATCTTTGGTTCTGGATTATGTCTTTGGTCACAGGAGGAAGTGCTTGAAGCCTCGTCAACACCATAGAAAACTGCAACTTCCTGCAGCTTTGGAGAGTTCCAAAAGAGATCAGTCAACTTCCATGTCACACATCAACTTGCTGTTTTCTCGCCGGGCGTCCGAATTCCCTGGCCCGCTGTCTGTCGCCAGCCACGGCCGCCCAGAGGCTCCAGGCACAAAGGAGTTGATGAGTGGAGTCCATTTAGAAATGATGTCTCCCAGCGGAGACGGGGATCTCCACACGCCCATGCTGAAGCTCTCCTACAGCACCTCGCAGGAATTTAGCTCTCGGGAGGAACTCCTCTCCCATAAAGAAGAGGACAAAAGCCAAATCTCCTTTGATAACCTGACTCCAAGTGGGACGCTGGGGAAAGACTACCGTAAATCTGCAGAGATTTTTCCCTTAAAGGCAAGAAAGCCTATGGAAAGAGAAGGCTATGAGTCCCCCGGCAACGATGACTACAGGGGGAGTTACAACGCCATGCTTTCCCAGCCTTTGTTTGAAAAGCAGGACCGAGAAGGTCCAGCATCCGCAGGAAGTAAACTCACCATTCAGGAACACATGTACCCCGCGCCTTCATCTCCTGAAAAAGACCAACTGCTGGACCGCAGACCTGCTGAATGTATGATGTCGCGATCGGTAGATCACCTCGAGAGACCTACATCCTTCCCGCGGCCGGGCCAGCTGATCTGCTGCAGTTCTGTCGATCAGGTCAATGACAGCGTTTACAGAAAGGTGCTCCCTGCCTTGGTCATCCCTGCTCATTACATGAAACTCCCAGGGGACCACTCCTATGTCAGCCAGCCTCTGGTCGTCCCAGCTGACCAACAGCTGGAGATAGAGAGGCTGCAGGCTGAGCTGGCCAAACCCCATGCAGGCATCTTCCCCCACCCGGCCTCACAGGTGCAGAACCAGCCCTTGTCCTCCCAGGCCATCTCGCAGCAGCACTTGCAGGAGGCGGGCACCCGGGAGTGGAGCCCTCAGAATGCAGCCATGTCCGAGTCTCTCTCTATCCCAGCGTCCCTGAACGATGCAGCTTTGGCGCAAATGAACAGCGAGGTGCAGCTCCTGACCGAAAAGGCACTGATGGAGCTAGGGGGTGGGAAGCCACTTCCACATCCACGGGCCTGGTTCGTCTCCCTGGATGGAAGGTCCAATGCTCACGTGAGACATTCCTACATCGATCTCCAAAGAGCTGGAAGGAACGGAAGTAACGACGCCAGTTTGGACTCTGGTGTGGATATGAACGAACCAAAATCTGCCCGAAAGGGAAGAGGAGAGCCTTTATCTCTCCAACAGAACCATCCACCTGTCCAGGAGCACCAGCAGAAGGAGCCCAGAGCCTCAGACAGCACTGCCTACACGCAGCTGGTGTACCTCGACGACATGGACCAGAGCGGCAGTGAGTGCGGGACCACGGTGTGCACCCCTGAGGACAGTGCCCTGCGGTGCTTGTTGGAAGGCTCCAGCCGGCGAAGTGG